GAGGTTGACTAAATAATATCTAGGGTTCATTCTAGCTCTAAATCTTGATCTTATGAAATCTACCCCCTAAAGCACGACATGAGATATATCATGGCCAGACTATGCTGAGGGATTTTGGGTGGAGAATAAGGATCTGATCCCTGTCAAGGACCCTGCGTTATAAAGGGAGCCAGCCATTCACAGATGGCTTTCCTTGGATCAGGCATTGGGAGGGCATCTCTTGATGCTCCAAAAAAATACACCAAAGCTGTGTGTTCCGTTTGGAGCAGCACACTCAGCTCTGCAGGAGTGGCTACAGAGCCCAGCAAAGTCTGGAGGTCAAAAGGTGTTAACAGGTTATGTGGTTATTCCCTCACCCCTCACCAACCCTGTGCTTTTTGGCTTCTTTCTTTTCATCATTCTGAGTTTTTTTTTTTTAATGGCAGTTTACAAAATTCAGTAGCCCTAGCTCCCTTATACAGATATCTTATGAATATCTTCTCCTGGGGACGCTTCTCCAGCTGGAATAGTGAATACCAGGGGGAAAGAGTAGAGCCTCCCTTAGGCAAAGGCCCCTTGTGACTACAGATACAAATGTGGGTAGAGACCCTGGCTAGCATTTAGAGATAGGAGAGATGGGAGAGCCAGGAGAGCCGTACTTCCCATGCTGCTTATAGGGTTACCGTGGAAGACAAGTACTTCCAGGTATGTACCTTGAATGGTCTGCTCACTGCCCCCCACATATGCACACTGACATACACAAATACATGACCCTTAAGAGCTTAATGCAGAATGCTCCAAGAGAATGCTCCTTCTGCTTCTTCTCTGTTATGTCTTCTCCTTTCCTTAAGAGGTGTGTGGCCTCCCTGTCCTCCCCCCCCCAAACACTGCTTCCTTTGCTCCCCATCCCACGTACTTCTCTTTTTCCTGGAGCATTCTCCTCCTGATCTAGGACCCCAAACCCAGATTTCCTGGCTGGTGAGACTCTTTATCCAAGGCATTTGGCTTGAGCAGGGTCCTGTGGGAGTCTCAGTTGCTTTTTAGAACGGAATGAAAAAGATGGGGCGAGTGGTTTGGATCTAATAATACAGCTACCACACTGTACCCTACCGTTATCACACTTCTCTTAGGAGAGCTGGGAATATGTTAATTAAGCCTTAACACCCCTTCCTCCCAGCCAGAGAAGTATTTTTAGACTCCTTTTCCAGGTGGGCCTTCTAAGCCTCTGACCCAGGCAGCCTTGCAAGGGAAGCTTCTCAGGCCCCCTTTAAGGTCCCTGACTGTTACAACAACTCTCCATTCTTCCCTATGGAGGGGTGAGAGTGTAAATAAGGGTAAGGAGGTCCTAAAGGGCAGCTTCAGCTACCCAGAGGTCTGTAGCCAATCCTGTGCTCCTGGTCTGTTAGGCCAATGGGAGGGGCCAAGGCAGCACTAAACCCAGCACTGTAGAATGTCTGGGAGCCTGGTGGCCCCTATTCACATGTGTACGGTGGTCCAGTTGGGAGTGACACATGTGGGCAATGAGTGGAAGTGCCTCCTTTTTGTTCCTTACCTGAGATTCTCCATCTTGTTTCTGTGAATGTGCCCTGACTGTCTTCCATGCCCGGCTTGAAGTCCTGAGTTCAAATCCTGGCTCAGACACTTACTAGCTGAGTGACCCTGAGCAAGTCACTCGATCATTGTCTGTCTTAGGTTCCTCATCTGTAAATGAATAATACTAATAGCACCTACATCCCAGAGTAGTGTGAACATAAAGTTCTTTGCAAACTTTAAAACACTACATATAAATGCTAGCTATTATATATTATGTATATACTTAAATATGTCCATGCTTTCTTTTCCATTAAAAAGTGGGCTCCTTGAAGGCAAGGATGTTTCCTCTTTGTCTTTGTATGCCCAGCACTTGGCACACTGCCTGCTAGGTGCTTAACAAATGCTTTTTTTGATTGAGGGACTGCCATAAGTATAGAATGGGTCTCTCATTTCAAAACATCCCTTATAATTGTAATCAATACCCTGACTGCCTTATCACCTGTATGTCTTAGAGGCAAAGAGGATATGGAGTCCAACCCCATCTCTGAACCACGAATCCCGTGTCCCAGTAGAGTAGGACACTGTAGCATTTAATAACGATTTCCTGAGCAAAGGTGGGCTCCAGAAATATGCTTATATCTCCAGAGCCTCCAGCCCTGGGGTGCTTCCACTCCAAACAGGTGGACTGTGGCACGGCCACATCATCTGCAGCTACAACTTAGCCTTTGCCTTCTCAAGAGGAGACTGAAAAATTCCCCCTTTCCTCCCCACTCTGCCTCAACCAGTTGCAGAAAGACAGACTGAGTGAACAGATTAAAATATTGCGGTAAATTTATCTAGGGAGTCCTGAAATTCCATTTGTTCCTCTTTTCTTTTAGGATCACCTAGTCCAGAGATTCTTAGCTTGGGGTACCCAAGCTGATTTCAGGGGATCTGTGATCTTGGATAGGAAAACAAATCACATCTTTATGTTAACATAACTGATTTCCTTTGTAATCTTACAGATTAAATTTTATTCATTTTAAAGCATTATTCTGATAATAGGCTTATAATAACATAACAATAGTTCATAGGTTTCACTAAATTGCCAAAGACCTCCATGACACAGAAATGGTTAAGAGCCTCTGAACTAGTTCAACATCCTAATTTTACACAGGGAAACCGAGGCCCAGAGAGATGCAGTGACTTGTCCAAAGTTATGCAAGAAATAAAGAGCAGAGGCAGCAAGTGAACCTGATCTTCCGACCCTAGACCCAAAGCACAACACCAAATTTCCCCGCCAAGAAACAAGCACCAACAGTATAATTTCGTCTTCAAGCAGGGTGGTACAAGAAATCCTGCGAACAGTATTGAGCACAGGTACCTTTGCCAGCTGCCTCCTACCTTCACAGTGTGCCTTGATCCATCGGGGCTGGAGGGAGTTTTCTTTCCCCAGGGGGAGCCTTGGGATCTCCTCAAAAATCTCTCCAGCTTGTTCTGTTCAAGGGGCTCAGGAAAGCCCTGGGTAGCAGCTGGCAGCTCCCCTCTAGCTAGACTAGGTGGTGCTATCACAGGGTCCTCCCCCGGTTCTAAGGCAGCAGCTCCAGGATGGAACTCAGGGGAGAAGATGGAGGAGGCTGAGTGTGAGTGATGGGGGTTGCTAGCTCAGCAGGTGCTAGTGCCGACGGGAAGGATGGGAAAAGCTTGCCTGGGAGTCCCTCTTAGCCTATTTGGAGCCCCCCCCTTGACAAGATGCCAGTTCTACATTCCACTCACCTCACCACCTTTCCCACCCTGACACCGGGCTAAGATGAGTCACAGCAACAGGAGCAGAGGCTTCCAACTGGGTAATTTTTTTTTTGGTTGCTTGGGCTCTGCCCCTATTTTGGGTTTGGTCTTTTTTTCCTCTTGATCCTTTGAGAGTTCCCCCTTCTGCCCTTCAGCATCTCTCCTCTTTGACCCAAAGTTTTCTTTCCCTCAACCATTCCATGAGCCAGAGGCAGCGACAGGTGTCTATTCCCTTCAGGAGATCTCAGGGTACTCCAAAGAGCATCAGTCCATAGATATCTGGGGACCCCTTGCCCCTGACGTACCCCTTTCCCAGAGAGTTACATTGAGGGAGTACTCACAAGGGATGAAGTTTGCGAGTCCACTTCACAAGTTGGAAGAAAACCTGGAGCTGTTCAGACACTACTTTCTCCCCAAACCCACTCTCTTCTCCCAAGACGGTCTTTTACTGACTAACAAACAGCCTTGTATACGAGAAGTGGGTGGATAGGTTCTCATCCAAAAAGACTGATCCATTTTATATTGGGCTTCATGCCACCTGCTGAGACCTGGGGAGGGCACTCAGTCTATTTTTGGTGAGTGCCTTTTTGTGAATGTCTAATAGATACATAAGGGAGCTGGGACAATTTAGACAAGAATCACGTGGGCGAGGAAACATCAGAAGAGAGACTGATCTAAGTAAACTGGGCTCTGTCCAAGGGGGTGGAGGGTGAGGCTAGGAAAACCATAGGAGAAAGAAGCAGGAAACAGGAAGCTGCCCCCCACCCCAGCCCTCTAGGCAGCACCTCTTCTGACCCCCACTGCTCCTGACCAAGGTCATGGGGAACTCAGATGAGACTCACATGTGTATAATCTGAGTGTTGTCCCATTCCGAAGGCAAAGGCAAGGGAGTAAGAGATCTCTTGGAGCCCTTAAAGACCCTTTGTGGAGCCCACCCTGCAGCCTATAAACTGTCAGCCTTCACTGCCTATTTCACCTGTACCTTGTGACATCTCTTTCATTATGGCATTGTTACTAAACTTTTTATGGTCCTTGAGGGCAAGGGCCATGCATTACATGTATTCTTTGTACCTCTGCAGCTCCTGGGATAATGTTGTGTTTTGCTGTTATGGTTAGTTGTGTTTGATTCTCTGTGACCCCATTTGGGGTTTTCTTGGCAAAGATACTGGAGTAGTTTGCCATTTTCTTTTCCAGCTCATTATACAGCTAAGGAAACTGAGGCAAACAGGGTTAAGTGACCTGGCCAGGGCCACATAGCTAGTGTCTGAGGCCAGATTTGAACTCAGGAAGAGGAGTCTTCCTGACTCCTGGCCTGGCCTGGCATTCTATCTACTGCACCACCTAGCTGCCCTACAGCAGGCATTCAATAAATATTTGTTGAGGGGATGGGAAAGTCACTTCCCCTTCACAGGCCTCAGTTTCCTCACCTGTAAATGAGGGAATTGGATTAGATGAACTCTAAGGTCCTTTCTAGCTCTGAGATCCTATGATTTTCCCTCCTCCTTAGGATTCCATCCTTTCCCCTCCAGCTGCCCTCATTGGATGATTTACCCTGAGTTCACTAGGATACAAACTTTGATGTAGGGATGAAGTGGCTGGCACCTTGACTGGCTTCAATGCCTCCTCACTAGGGACAGCCCTGAGGACCAGGTGGCCCCTCAGACCAGATCAGACCCCAGAGAGAACAGACTCAGGAAGGTGGAGAATAACCAATATCTTACCGTCGGGGGGATCTGGATTTGGATGTCATTGGCGCTGTCTAAGGGTAAGCTGCTCCCCTCTTGAGGACCCTCAAGGTATTTCTGGCTTTTCACAGAGAGGGAAAAGAAGTCCTTGCCTGCCATCTTCAGCTCGACCATGTGGTGGCTGTCTCCGTTCTGGTTCTGTCATGGGAAAGAAAACAAAGAAGGAATGTTGAAAAAGGTCCTGGAAAATTGAGCAAGGTTTTTTGTTTTGTTTTGTTTTTAAATCTAGGCAGCTTACTTGTTAAAAAATAATAACCACTAGTATTTGTACAAAGCATTTCATACTTTTTAGTGCTTTTATATATGTTATCTCACTTGACCCTCACATCAGCTGGTGGGACACACAGGGAAGGTATTATTAACCCCATTTTGTAATTGAAAAAGCAGGCTCAGCAGTGAAGTCCAAGGTCACAGAGGCATCTCCAACTTTCCCTTGGATGGATTTTCAGGGTGGTTGTGGGAGTAAAGTCCATTTGAAATTCCCTGAGTTCAGTCTCCTACTCTATCCAATTCAAGATTCTATCAACAAGAGCTTAAGGACCTTTTGGGAGTTCATGGTAGTTAATTTCCATGAGCTGCGCCTTAAAGATTAGGGGTATCTTTTAATTCCTAGTAACTCTTAATAGCTCGCTAATTAAATAAGTAGGAATATGATAAAAGGTCCTTCAGAAGGATTTATCATGGTATTGAGCTCATTATGGGAGGATAGACCTGGGTTCGAGTCCCACTTCTGCCACACACTGTGTGACCCTGGTCAAGTCACTGCACTGGCAGTGCCCTAGGCGACCCTTTAAGACTATAAGTTACATAGATTAGAAGATACCAAATGGCACTGAAAGAAGTTTCTTCCTTATACCAATGAAATCATAGGTCCAGTCCCTTGTGCTCTAGGCAAAAAAAGAAAAAAAAAAGAAAAAGAAATAGTTCCTACCCTCAAAGAACTTACAGTCTATGGGAAGAAGCAATTTTGTTGTTATTGTGTCAGTTAGTTGTGTTTGACTCTTCATGACCCCATTTGGGGTTTTCTTGGCAAAGATATTGGAGTGGTTTACCATTTCCTTCTCTAGCTCATTTTAAAGATGAGGAAACTGAGGCAAACAGGGTCAAGTGACTTGTCCAGGGTCACACAGCTAGTAAGGCTTACATTCTATAAGAAGGAAACAATATGTACACAGAAAATCTAATATAAAATATAAACAAAATAATTTTCCCAGGACAGGGAGTGTTTGGGGAAGGGAGAGGGTGTTCAGATGAACTCTGAAGGAAGGCAGGGGATCTAAGATTTGGGTAAAGGATTCATTCCAGGCATAGGGGAGATGGAGTGTTTTGTACTCAGAACAGAAAGTGGACCAATTTGGCTGCAGTGTATAGTAACCGAAGGAGAGTCACATGAAAGAGACCTAGAAAGGTGGGGTCAAGGGGCAGCTAGGGGGCTCACTGGATAGAACACTGGCCCTGCAGTCAGGAGGACCTGAGTTCAAATCCGGTCTCAGACCAGACATTTGACACTTACTAGCTGTGTGACCCTGGGCAACTCACTTAACCCCAAATGCCTCATAATAATAATAATAATAATAATAATAATAACAATAACAATAACAACAACAACAACAATAACAAGAATAATAATAGTATAAAGAAAGGTGGGGTGAAGTCAGATGGTGAGGGGCTGTGAAAGCCAAACAGGAGTCTGTAAGCAGAACTTCTTGGGCAGGGTAGAGACAAGACCAGACTCATGCCCTAGGAATGTCAGCTTGGCCGCCGTGTGTGGAGGATGGATTAGGGATGGGAGGGGGGGGATGCAGCCAGGTAGTCAGCAAGCATTTATATAGCATTTAGCATGTGCCGGGCACTGTGCTGGGATGCAGGGAACCAATTAAGATGGAGGGGTGTGTGTGTGTGTGTGTGTGTGTGTGTGTGTGTGTGTGTGTGTGTGTGTGTGTGTGTGTGTGTGTGTGTGTGTGTGTGTGTGTGCGCGCGCGCGCGCGTGTGTTCCCGAAGGACAAACAACAACACAGTCTTAATCAATGAATGGGCGTTGCCTCAGTCAAGGTGAGGACCCAGAGAAACCTTGGCTTAAAAAGGCCAAGGTCTCCCATTCTCTCTGTGGCCATCTCCAGTCGTCCCGATCTATCTATACGACTCTGGAGGAGAAAGTGGGGCTGGTGACTTTGCACGGTGCTGCCTCACTTAAATCCAATTCACTTGCAAGTCATGACATCACCTTGCAGATGTCACGGTCCTCTTAGAGAACAAAGGACACACCACTACCACCTGTGCGTGTAGCAGGTAGATTTACTGAGGAGGAAGGACCAACAAGACATGGCAGCTGATCCATCTGGGGATAGAAGGTGATGGTAACTCCAAGGTGGCAAATCTGAGTCACTCAGAAGGACGGTGACGCCCTCAACAGAAACAAGGACATCAAGAATAGAAAACAGTGATGAGAGAGGATAGACAGATGAGAAGTCTGTGGGGAAAAGGTGCTATTTAGAAACAAATGAGGTGACAGCACACTTTGAAAGACGAGTGATGGTAGTGCCCACGTAAAATCACCAGGAGTGGGGGGAGTCAGCGGAATAAGCGAAACAGCAAACCCACTACAAAACACTATATTCTAAGGATTCTGAAAAACAGACAAAGACCACAGACCTTAGCTTCAGTTGGTTGGTCTACTATCTGCCTATTGGCTCAAGCCAAAGCTAATGGGATTAATGGTGACCAATATCCCTAAATTTTAGGTTTCCTCCTTTGGGCTGGGCCAGTCTTGCCCTCAGGTACTTATCTACAAATGGAGATATTTCTCTGTATGGATCATAGAATATATACAAACCACCACACTGGATTCAGAAATAAAACCCAGGATTTAGCACATAGTTTGGTGCTTAATTTATTTAGTGTTTGTTGAATAAATGAAAAAAAATTAATTGGTTGTTTTTTTTTTCCTTTTTGATCTACTTAACACCAAATAATTAATTAGACTAACTGAATTTTTTACTTTTCAGCTTTGTTGTTGCAGACATAGCCCAAGAGGGAGAAAAAGCAGTGGCAGAGGATGAGTGTCTGTTACATTTCCTTGAAATAACGTCTTTAAAAATGAACAGAAAGGAAAAGAGCTACAAGGAAAAGGCTGGTTTTAGTCAATGGTACCATCTTCTAATGTATCCAAATACTCTGCATCTGCTGCCTAGGAATTCTTCTTGTGAGGTGGTTGGGGAAAATGGGACGATGTGAGACCTTTGGGCATTTTGTGGACAACGGGCAAAATAAAGTCAAAATGGTACTGTTAGTGGAGGAAACACCTTGGGTGTCAGGGTTAAGAACAGGGACAGATGGGCTTCTTTCATGTAGCTCTGTTCAACCCCCCCCCCTCAGCCCAACTCAGAGCAATAAAGGGTCCATATTTATCAGCCAGAGCTAGTAGGAAAGAAACATTAATGCTGAGATGGTACTAACAGTGCTCTGTAAACAGCTCACTGAGCTTTCAGGGGCTGAGTGCCTTTTCAGCAGTTCCCTGCTCCTTGGAAACCCTCCCTCTTTAATCCTGTTGAGGACGGTGATATCTGCTAATTGCAGAATTCATATAAATGAGATAGGTCAATAAGCCACTCCACTGATGTTTAATCTACCCAACCCAGTGATTCTGAAGTGTCCCTTTAGTCCCTTCCTCCCTTCCCTCAAACCACCATTAACATCCACCAACCCACCAACACACAGATACTCATCTTTTTCCTTACTCAACCCAAGCATGCTTACCTTTTCCAGTGGAAACTTCAATAAATCCAGGCTCTCTACACTGTGCCTCTGGATCCTCTTAGGCCTGGCGCCTGGGAAGATAATAGGGATCATAGTCAGTTCTAGCCCTTCCACACACTTATGGTGGTGTCTTAGTCAGCAAAAATGCTCAGGACCTGGGCTATTTTGGGTAATTGAATTTTGTTGTTAACTTGGGGTTAAGCAGAAAACCTTTGAAGCCCTGTTAACAAGCTTCTCCAGTCCGATGACCAGTCATTGCTTCTTTGTCTGCTTACTAATGGTTTTGGCTAGCTCTAAATAGGTTTTCCTCATTTGGGTAGAGCCCTTAGGATTTTACCAGGTTCAGGATCTGATTTTACCACATTCAGGCTCTGAACATTAGTGATCTTCACAAATAGGACTGGGGTTGGAGAAGATAAAGGAGATAGGGCTAAACCTAGTAAGTTACTTTTTAAATAAATCTCTCATCTTAGCCTTGCTCTCTCATCTTCTTCATTCTTTTAGAAGTCAAATATAGACAATGTTTCTATATTTTTTGAGTAGCTGAGAACCACAGATCTAGACCTGGATGGGGACCTTAGAAACCATATAGTCTAACCCTCTCATTCTAGAGATGAGGAAACTGAGGCCCAGGAAAGATAATTGGTTAATCAAGGTTTTACTGTATGCAGTGGCAACTATACTCTTAGAGCATATGTCTAAAAAATGGGATGCCAGCCACCTTTGATGAATTCAAATCACCTGGACCAGATGAACCACATCCTTGGGTTCTGAAAGAGCTGGCTGATGTAATTGCTGAGTCACTGTGGGTAACAGTTGAAAGATCATGGAAAATGGGAGAAGTACCACAGAATTGGAGAAGGCAAATATTGTCCCAGTTTTCAAAATGGGGCAGGGGAGTGGGGGTGGTGGAACAGGCTAGCTATGTTGAAGTATTTGAAGGGCTACTGTGTGAAGGCAGAGGGATGACTTATCTTGTTTAGGACAAAGCTAGGAACAATAGGGGCCTGGGGGGTGTTGCAAGGCAAAATTTGGCTCAATGTCAGGAAAAATACCTAATGATCAGAGCTGACCCAAAGTGGAATGGGATATTTCAAGGAGTGGTAGGTTCTACCTCCCCCCACCCCCATACCCCATAAAAGTCTTCAAGCACCAGCTAGATAACCATTTGTCAGGTACATTATAATGGAGATTTCTTCTGCCTATGAGTTGGCCTGGATGCTGGCTGTGGTCTCCCCCAATCCTCAAATTCTGGGATTTCATAGCTGTGTATTTCATCACCTGTGTTTCATCTAAGGGAGTCAAGCTTAGCAAACACTTCCATGCTAATGGCCACAGTCAGACTAAAAGCACTTGTCTGAAGCGGAGCTGAGGTTAGGAGAGTGTCCATAAGAAGACCAAATTGAAGTTGGGACACAAACTTGCTCATTATTTTTTCCTTGCTGTGGCTTTTCTGGTGTCACCCCCTTAGCAATGTACACTCGTCCAAACAATTTTCACTCACCCGTGATAAGGCAATGGAACAGTGATATTAAAAATGCCTTTCTGGAGTGAATCACATGAGGGTTTGTGCATGTGGGCAGATTCACTTTTCTTAACCACCTTGGCTCCACCTAATATTCTAAGGAGTGTGAGTTTCCTAGGCCCGTATTAACTTGTTTCAGAGTGGGAAGAGAGGTGGGAAAATTGACCTAAGAATTAACATTTTTAGTAGATGATACACAAAGCAAAAAATATGTTTGTGGAGTTGACTTAAATGCCTTATGGGACTTCACCATTGACTTTTGATCCTTTTCTTCAGTGTTACCTACGGCAGGAGTTACTCTGGCCAGCGGAAAAATTAAGACATTAAGACATAAAGTGGGTTAGTGACTTATCCATGGTCAAACCTTGAGACTTAACAGAATGGTGGTGGGATAGAGGGTTAGGATATAATCCCAGGCCTCTTGACTGCTTCTTTCAGTATATCTCCAGTAGGTCCATCATTACCTTCCTATACAATATCAAACATTTCTTCATGGATGGTCACTGACTAGGTGGGTGGGGAAGTACATTGTTTCTTTGCATTTTTGAAGCTGGAAGGAGGGGTAAATGATTTGTCAAGGTGAAGTGACATGTGAAACCTTGAAATTAAAAGTACTTGGCTGGATTTTGGGCCTCCCAGAGGGATCCTATTCTGGCCTCCCAGAGGGATCCTCACCCCAACTTCCAGGGTGAGGTTAATTGATTGCACCCTGGGGGAAAATAACCAGAATGGATCACTTCCTCAGCCATGAACACTCCTAGTCCCCCAAGTATGTCCTTGGACCTGACCACTTCACCACCTCTGATCAGTCTCCACCTCCCCATGCTCTCCAACTCTATCCTATAGATGGAAAGAGAATCACTTTCTCCAAAGAAGTATTCCTCTGCTTAGAAGTAGGAGGTGGGATTAAAGCCATCCCTCTGTCATCCCTCAACTCTGTTTTCTAGCTGAAGCCAAGTTTAGGTTTGGGATCTAGTAAAGGTCCAGAGAGGGTGGCTGGGTTACAAAGGGGCCCCCTTTCATTTCTAGGCCCGTGAGATGACAGGTCCTCTGATATGCAGTCCCTGTGAAAGCTAAAAAGGAGAAAGGAACAGCCTGTACTTTAAAAACACCATCACTCACTTTTCGCACCGAGGCAATAAATCTCTCTGGCAGCTTGCCTGGGATAGAAGTGTGGAGATAACGTCTGGTGTAACCTTGGAGCTGTGGGAGTGAAGGCCGTGTCTGCTACCCCCTAGGTGCCAGTAGGCGTGTGGCACCTGAATGCCCTGGGCAACCATCCAGGAAACAGGGCAGAGCAGGGAGGGGAATAGGGCTCCTCATGGACTATAGGGTCCATTCTCAGCCTGGCATTTGAGGCCTTTCATGGTGTGGCACCCAATGACAATTCTCTGAGATTGACTCCCATGCTTTCCACTCCAACCCATTCATCTTTCAGTGCTTAGCTCAAGGCCCATTCTCTTCCATAACTTCCCTCATTACCTCAGACCTCAGTAATCTCTCCTCATCTGCAACACTCACAGTACTATTCACTTGGCACCGATTATACTGTCTTGGATTATTAGGAATTTTTTCCTGTATTTGCTATTTTATCTACTCAACTAGACTATAAGCGCCCTGAGAGCAGAAGATCTTGTAGTTCTTTTGGAGAGGGAAGAGAGCCTCTGATTTTGCAAGCTCTAGCCTTTAGCTGACTTCTGACCAAGTGAGTACTCAAGGGACAGTCCTCCTCCCAATCCTAAGGAGGTGGCAAAAAGCTAACAAAAAACCCAAACTGATTTCTTGTTTTTGTTTGAGTTGAAAATGATTTGGCTGACTTACAGGTGAGTACAAAACTAAAATTTGGTAGTCAATTCTCAATTATTTGCATGTAGTTATATGCTTCATCAAGGGACCCATGGGAAATGTTTATTGACAGACCGCTTTTCACAAACATTTTCATTGATTACCTATCCTACACATCTGGGGGGAGGTGGACACTGACAATTCTGGCTTTTGGATGTTGCCTGAGTTCTTTTTTAAAAGCCTAGGTATTAGGGGGGATAGGAGTTCTTAGTATTCCTTTTCTACTACTGACTGCCTGTCCTAAGGGGAACTGCAAGCCCAGAATGGGAAGTAATTTGTTCTGAGTGTTGCATCTGGGTGGGAACCATGATTCCAAACTATTTGACCACATTCCCCAGATGGGACATCATGATTTAGGTAGTTTATTTTAAGGGAGATCTAGATTGTCATCCTGGCTCCACGCTAAGCTCATTGTGTGACCTTGAGCCAGGAACTTCTCCATCTGGTCTTTGGTTTCACCATGAGTAAAGTAAGGGGTTGGATTAAAGCATGGTTCTCAGCCTTAATTCTCTGTGTGTGTGGACCCCGTTGGCAGTCTGGTGAAGCCGGTGGAAATGCATCAAATGAAATACATAGGACAAAGGAAACCAATTATATTGAAACAGGGTTATCAAAGTATTTTTTAAAATGCAAGTTCATTGGCCCCAGATTAAGAACCTCTCAACTACATAATCTCTAAATATTTGAGTGCAGGTGATTTTACAATTCTAGAATTCACATTCAAACAAACAAACAAACAAACAAACTCAAAACAACAAACTAATAAAATAAGACCATATACAATCAGTCTCAATGAATGCTACAGACAACAAATGTTCTATATAGGAGAGGTCCCTTGCTGGTAAGATGGTCAAGCAGAACTTCATAGAAGAAAGAAGTTGTTGGATTTGAGCTAGGGGTTAATGAACTCAAACCAGCTGATATGTTTTACTCTCCCAGGTAAAACAACTCCCAAATCTAGTTAAAATGATCATGTATCCTTAAGAAGGCCCATGAGGAGTCCCCTAAATGGTAACAATATCTGGGGTTATGGTTTGCTGATGAGTCATCAAATCACATCATGTGGGTGGTCACTATTCCCATTTAGGGGTAGGCCCAGCCATGTAGATCATTTCCCAATCCCTTACTGGAGAGAATCACAACATCATCGAATATTAGAGCTAAGCTCTTAGGGTCATTTAATCCAGCAGTCCCCCAGGTGTGGTTCGGGCACACCTAGGAATACCTGAGACCCCTTCTGGCACCTATGAGGCCAAAACCATTTCCACAGTTTTCATTTTAGAGGCATCTAGGTGACACAATGGACAGAGAGCTGGAACTAGAGGCAGACACTTACCAAGACTGTGTGAGTCTGGGCAAGTCACTTACATTTTCTATGCCTCAGCTTCCCGATCTATATAACATGGGAATGACAATAATAGCATCAACCTCATTGGGTTGTGAGGATGACATAACATTTGTAAAGTGCTTTGCACTTTATTTAGATAGTGCTTAAAGTACTCTAAAATGTTAGCTTTGAAACTTTTTTTTCATAATACTACTAAGATATTCTAATGCTTTAACGTGGTAAATATCATTAGGTATTATTGACATCAACAAAAGCTTTTTGGGCGATTCTCAATAATTTTTAAGAGCGTAAAGGGATCCTGAGACCACAGTTTGAGAACCACCGATCAAATCTAGCCATAGTCTCCAGACAGA